TGTTAAAATATTGGTCAAATAAAAAGGTCTTAATCTGGTGCTGAAAAGCATATAATGATGGTGCCAGGCGGACCTCTCTGGGGAGCACATTCCACAGTCAGGGTGCCATTGCAGAGAAGGCCTGCAGAGAATCATCTACCAACAGGACCTCCATCTTTTCTGGATTGAGGCTCAGTTTATTGGCCCTCATCCAGCCCATTACCTCGGCCAGGACGGCCACTGGATGAGTTGAAAAAGAGAGGTAGAGGTGGGTGTTATCAGCATACTGATGATTCTGCAGCCCAAACTGCCTGATGACCTCTCCCTGCAGTTTCATGTAGATGTTGAATAGCAAGGGGGAGAAAATAGAGCCCTGCAGTACACCATGGCATAGCTGCCATGGCGCAGAGCCAAAGTCCCCCAGCACCACCTTCTGGAATCGGCCGTCGAGGTAGGAGCGGAACCACTGCCAAGCAGTGCCCCCAACTCCCAGCCCAGCCAGCTATCCAGAAAGATACCATGGTCGATGGTATCGAAAGCCGCTGTGAGGTCCAGGAGGACCAACAGGGATGCACTCCCCCATCTCTCTCCTTGCCCAGGTCATCATACAGGGCGACCAAGGCAGATTCAGTACCGTACCCGGGTCTGAAGCTGGACTGAAATGGGTCCAGATAATCAGTCTCATCCAAGAGTGCTTGGAGTTGTCCCGCCACCACCCGTTCCAACACCTTGCCCAAGAACGGGATGTTGGCCACCGGTCTATAATTGGCAGCCATCTCTGGATCCAGGGACGCCTTCTTTAGGGCAGGCCTGATCACCGCCTCTTTTAAAGAAGTGGGCACCCAGCCCTCCCTCAGTGAGGTCTTAATAACCTCCAGGATCCAGGCACCAATCCCGTGTTTGGCTTTGGTAAGTAGCCACGAAGGGCAAGGGTCGAGTAAGCAGGTGGTAGGACATACTTGTCCAAGCACCTTGTCCACATCATCAGGCCTCATTAACTGAAATTCATCCAATACTGCTGGACCAAACGGAGTTCTTGGCACCTCCCTTAATGGAACCGTATCAACTGTGGAGTCCAGCTTGTGACGAATCTGAGGGATTTTCTTCTTGGAGTACCAGGCAAAGTCGTCACAGTGGGCAGTCGATGGTGGCACAGGATCTTTTTTGGGACCTGTATGTATTAGCCCATGCACCACTCAGAAAAGCTCTGGTACTGTGAGGAGGCAATGGAAGTGGAGAAGAATTGCTTCTTCGCTGCCCTCACCGCCAAGGCATCGGCTTGATAGTGAGCACACAAGCATGTTCGGTCAGATTCATCCGGAGATTTCCTCCATCTGTGCTCTAGTCACCTCCCAAACTGCTTCATTACCCATGATTCAGATGTACACGATGGAGATGAATGGGCTCTGCCTGGCAGAAGAGATGCTTAGGGGCAATGGTGTGAATAGCTCTGGACATCACAGTAGTCCAAGTCTATGCCCCAACCACTGGTGCTGAAGAGGCTGAAGTTGACTGGTTCTGTGAAGGCCTACAACACCTTCTAGAATTAACACCAAAAAAATGATGTCCTCATCATCATGGGGGATTGGGATGCTAAAGTACGAAGCCAAAAGAGAACCGGAATAACGGGCAAGTTTGGCCTTGAAATGCAAAATGAAGCAGGGCACAGGCTGGTAGAACTTTGTCAAGAGAATACGATGCTCATAGCAAACACTCTTTTCCAACAACCCAAGAGACGACTCTACACATGGACATCACCAGATGGTCAACACAGAAATCAGATTGACTATGTGCTCTGCAGCCAAAGATGGAGAAGCTCTATACAGTCAGTAAAAACTAGACCAGGAGCTGACTGTGGCTCAGATCATGAGCTTCTTGTTGCAAAATTTAGGCTTAAATTGAAGAAAGCAGGGAAAAGCACTAGGCCACTCAGGTATAACCTAAATCATATCCCTGATGAATATACAATAGAGGTGGCAAATAGATGTAAGGAATTAGATCTGATAGACAGAGTGCCTGAAGAACAATGGATGGAGGTTTGCAACATTGTACAAGAGGTAGCAACTAAAACCATCCCAAAGAAAAAGAAATGAAAGAAAGCAAAATGGCTGTCTGAGGAAGCTTTACAAATAGCTGAGGAAAGAAGGGAAGTGAAAGGCAAGGGAGAAAAGGAAGGATACACCCAACTGAATGCAGAATTCCAGAGAATAGCTAGAAGAGATTAGAATGCCTTCTTAAATGAACAGTGCAAAGAAATAGAAAACAATAGCATAGGGAGGACCAGAGATCTCTTCAAGAAAATTGGAGAGATGAAGGGAGCGTTTCATGCAAGGATGGGCATGATAAAGGACCAAAATGGCACGGACCTAACAGAGGCAGAAGAGATTAAGAAGAGGTGGCAAGATTACACAGAGGAACTATACAAGAAAGAGCTTAACCTCCCTGATAACCATGATGGGGTGGTCACTGACCTCGAACCAGACATCCTGGCATGTGAAGTCAAATGGGCCTTAGGAAGTCTGAGCAACAACAAAGCTAATGGAGGTGACAGTATTCCAGCTGAGCTATTCAAAATCCTAAAAGATGGTGCAGTTAAAGTGCTACACTCAATATGCCAACAAATTCAGAAAACTCAACAGTGGCCACAGGATTGGAAAAGTCAGTTTACATTCCCATCCCAAATATTTATTTATTTATTTATGAAAACATTTCTATGCCGCCCCTTGCTGAAGCCTCGGGGCGGCTCACAACATCGAATAAAATACACAATAAATTAAAACAATAACAATTAAAATATATACAGTAAAATAAAATAAGCCGCCCTGGTCAAATAAAATTCAATAATATTAACATTTAAAATACTGCTTAAATAAAAAGGTCTTCTGCCTTTTTATTTTATACTGCTTAAATAAAAAGGTCTTCTGGTACTCCTACCAGAAGTACAGGCAGGATTTCAAAGAGGCAGAGGAACTAGAAATCAAATTGCCAACATACGCTGGATCATGGAGAAAGCTAGGGAGTTCCAGAAAAACATCTACTTCTGCTTCATTGACTATGCTAAAGCCTTTGATTGTGTGGATTACAACAAATTGTGGCATGTTCTTAAAGAGATGGGAGTACCACACCATCTTATTTGTCTCTTGAGAAACCTATATGTGGGTCAAGAAGCAACAGTGAGAACTGGACACGGAACCACTGATTGGTTCAACACTGGGAAAGGAGTTCGGCAAGGCTGTGTACTGTCGCCCTGCCTATTTAACTTGTATGTGGAGCAAACTCAAATACTTTGGCCACCTAATGAGAAGGAAGAATTCCCTGGAGAAGAGCCTGATGCTGGGAACAATAGATGGCAAAAGAAGAAGGGGACGGCAGAGGATGAGGTGGCTGGATGGAGTCACTGAAGCAGTCGGCGTGAGCTTAAGTGGACTCCGGGGGATGGTGGAAGACAGGAAGGCCTGGAGGAATGTTTTCCATGGGGGCGTGATGGGTTGGACATGACTTCGCAACTAGCAACAACAACAGCAAATACATACAGTAAATAAATTAAAGGGTATTAATTGCCAGAATTCAGCAGACAGAGGTTTCCACTGCATGAAGATAAACATGAGAATCTCTGCTCTTTTTCCATGTGTCTTTCACCCAAGAAAACTCAGTGATCTGTGATTAGTGATGTGAAGCCCTCTCCCATTCAGTGCCACTGAACAGTTGCGGAATACAGGAAGACAGAGAAAGGAAACACTCCAGAAAAGCAAGCATAAAAACACATGCCTGAGCTGGACTTGATTCTGCAAAGCCTGACACAGGAACCGTGGTAAAGGGGCAGGTTGAAGGGCCCCATACAACTCCAGCTCGTTTCGGCGAGGCTTGTGCCCGTGGCCTTGGCGGTCTGCATCCCGGCGTTCCCAGTGTGTGTGCAGAGAGGCACGCACGGAGCGGCTCCCTCCTGCTACAATGTTTGAATGAAACACTGACGTGAACACCGAGGCCTTTTGGTTCGGGGAGGAGGAATCCAAATGCTGTCCTCCAGCAAAATTAAAATATTCATAAGAAGCAGCTCTTCAGTGGTTTTCAAAAGCTGCTCCGTGTCACCCTGCACGTGGGCTAACGAAGGGCCAAGCTCAGGCCACCATCCCAAAAAGTTACCTGGAACTTCAGGTGGCCAGTTTGCTGTGCAGGGAAGCAAGTGCTGGCAGCTGCGAGGAGCAGCTGCCCCCTTCCCCTCGGCCGGGAGTGGGAGGATCGCGGCCGCAGCTACTGATCAACATGACATTTTAGAGCCGCGGGGGGCTGGGCAGAGGAGTGCCAGATCGCAGTGCCTGGGCAGGGAGCCCACCTCGGCTGGGACGGGGGCCGTGTCATTTCCAGGCTACCAGAATGCATGTAACTGCAGGATACAACCAGTAACGGGGCCTGAGGAGGAGGGGGAGGAGGGGGAGGGTCTCCACAAGGGAGACCTTGACCCTGGCATGCAGGGGCAGCCAGGGCATCCTATTTTGTGCCAAATTTCCTCCCCGCCTCTTCTGCTCTATCCAGGGCGCGGAGAGTCTCCTTGCGGGGGGCGGGGGGGAGCAGCACCTTCGGGGAAAGACACTGCGCTCGGCTGGGCGCCGGTTCCCAGAGGGGGCCCCGTGCACCTCTCCTCTATGATCCGTGAAGAGCCCGTGGGCCTGAGCCGAGACTGGCCTTTCCTGCAGCGGCTCCCCTGGCTCAGGGCTCCTTCCCAGGCAGCCTCGGAGGACCGAGAGCCGGGCAGGCAGAGTGGGCAGGCGCCAGGCAAGTCCGCACGCGAGGCCGGTTTCGCTCCTTTCGCCAGTGGCTCCTCTGCCCCGGGGCAACAGGCGGATCCATTGCTGACATCCCAACGGCCCCCATAAATTGACGTTTCTGTACGGGATAATTTTCTCTTAGCCTCCGCCTCAAATGTTGGCCACTTTCTACATGCAAACACAGCAGCAAGCAGGCTGCCTCACTGGCCTTCGTCTCCCACCGCAAGGAAGAGGGAAAGGGGGGTTCGCTCTTACCAGTTTGGGCTTCTTTTGTGGGGAGAGGTTGTCATAAAACGCCTTGGCATCCTGCCACCCCTCCTGCTCCGGCTGCCTTCCGCCGTTGGTCAGTTTGCCGCCGGCGTCTCTGGGGGGCCCCCTCTCTTCTGGGCGGCCAGCTGCTGCAGGCTCCATCGTGCCCTTCCAGGCGAGCGGACGGGATGGAACTGGCAAGCAGATTATCTTCCTCTCTCTCCAGGCTCCAGTTCAGTAGGCGGGGGGGGGGGGGGGGGAGCTGAGGGGCTGTGATAACAATATCCTTTGGATGTCGCTCAAGAGTGGATGAGCAGCAGCAAGGTCTGCCCGCGTCTGTGCAGGCGAGAGCGTGTCTGTCACGCAGCCAAGGTGCTTTATAAGGGAACCCATGAACCCCTCGTTACCAAATCAAGTGGCCGGCTGGGTTAACCTCCTCGGGGCCGGAACTGCTGCTGCTCCTGAGCTGTCCTGGCCCTCCTGGGCACAGGCTCTCTCCTGCATGCAGAACTGAATGCATAATAATAGGAAAGGGGCGATTGGAGGTGCCTGCCCAGGGGCTGGACTAAGCCTCCTTGGCAAGCCCATGTTCTGAAGTGAACACCAGTGCCTGAAAGCCAGTGTGGAGGACGCGATTCCACGCTCACAATAGCAGAACCCAGTGGGGGTCATCCAGTGAGGCTGAGATTCAGGACACAAAGCAGCCCTTTTTCACAGAGTTATTTAGGGCCTATTCTTCCTAATACAGCCACCAACTTGCACAGCTTTGAAGGGTGCTTTGGCAGGTAATGGAAGGTGGGCCTTTTGTTGGTCCGTAGTCTTGATGACGGTAGATGGCCTCCAGGAATGGAGGATACCTGGCTGCCAAGGCCAGCTAGACGGCTTCAACATCAGGAGAAGCCTTGTGTGCTCCTGTCCAGCTCCTGGCCCTCCATGGACATCTGCTCGGCCCTGTGGGGACAGGATGGTGGACCAGAGAGGTGGCCCCATATCTGCGCCTGGAGGATGGCGAATGCTGCAGAAGCACCAGCTCCTGCCCTGGTCCCCAAATCCATCGGCTGAGAACCAAACCCAGCACCTTGAAGGCAACGGGGAAGGCTGCAGCAGCAGCCAAGGTAGAGGAACTGGGTTTGCTGAGCTCCAGCAGCTGAGATGGCCTGGATCCATTACTGGGGTGCAGGATCTGGGCTGCACCTGTCAGAGAGGTGGACAGTGGCTCCTTCCTTTCAGCCCCTTAAATAGCATGGGATTACCTGATGAGGTTCCCCGGCTCTGTTGCCTCACCAGATGGGCCCCAGGGTACCAGCATTATCAGCTGTGGATGGGCTGAATGCCGTCTCCCTGGGAAATTCTGCCTGAGCCAGTTTCATCTTCAGGATCTGGCCTTCTAAAGAGCAGTCAGGGTTGATCTCCTCCAGGACTGATTGGTTTGATCACCTTGCGGTCCAAGGGACTCGCAGGAGTCTCTGCCAATACCACAGTTCAAAGGCCTCAATTCTTCAGCACTCAGCCTTTCTTATGATCCAGCTTTCACAGCCATACATTGCAACTGGGAAAACCATAGCCTTGATTATACGCACTTTTGTCGGCAGGATGATGTCTCTGCTTTTTAATATGCTGTCTAGATTTGCCATAGCTTTCCTCCGCAGGAGCAAGTGTCTTTTAATTTCTTGGTTGCAGTCCCCATCTGCGGTGATCTTGGAGCCCAGGAAAATAAAATCTGTCACTACCTCCATTTCTTCCCCATCTATTTGCCAGGAAGTGAGAGGACAGGATGTCATGATCTTAGTTTTCTTAATGTTAAGTTTCAAGCCAACGTTTGCGCTCTCCGCCTTCACCCATATCAAGAGGCTCTTTAGTTCCTCTTCATTTTCTGCCATGAGAGTGGCATCATCTGCATATCTGAGGTTGTTGATATTTCTCCCAGCAATCTTAATTCCAGCTAGTGATTCATCTAGGCCCGCCTTTCTCATGATCTGCTCTGCCTATAAGTTAAATAGGCAGGGCGACAGTATACAGCCTTGCCGAACTCCTTTCACAATTTTGAACCGATCAGTGGTTCCATGTCCAGTTCTCACTGTTGCTTCTTGACTCGCATATAGGTTCCTCAAGAGACAAATAAGATGGTCAGGTACTCCCATCTCTTTAAGAACTTGCCACAATTTGTTGAGATCCACACAATCAAAGGCTTTAGCATAGTCAATGAAGCAGAAGTAGATGTTTACCTGGAACTCCCTAGCTTTCTCCATGATCCAGCATATGTTGGCAATTAGATCTCTAGTTCCTCTGCCTCTTCATTATCCTGTCTGTACTTCTGGTAGTTCCACATACTGCTGGAGCCTAGCTTGTAGGATTTTGAGCATAACTTTGCTAGCATGTGAAATGAGTGCAATGGTGTGGTAGTTTGAACACTCCTTGGCATTGCCCTTCTTTGGGATCGGAATGTAAACTGACTTTTCCAATCCTGTGGCCACTCTAGAGTTTTCCGAATTTGCTGGCATATTGAGAGTAGCACTTTTACTGCATTGTCTTTTAGGGTTTTGAATAGCTCAGCTGGAATACTGTCGCCTCCACTAGCTTTGTTGTTGCTCAGACTTCCTAAGGCCCATTTGACTTCACATGCCAGGATGTCTGGCTCGAGGTCAGTGACCACCCCATCGTGGTTATCAGGGACGTTAAGCCCTTTCTTGTATAGTTCTTCTGTGTAATATTGCCACCGCTTCTTAATCTCTTCTGCCTTTGTTAGGTCCCTGCCATTTTGGTCCTTTATCATGCCCATCTTTACATGAAACGTTCCCTTCATATCTCCAATTTTGTTGAAGCGATCACTTGTCCTCCCTATTCTGTTGTTTTCTTCTATTTCATTATTATTATTATTATTATTATTATTATTATTATTATTATTATTATTATTACATTTCTGTGCCGCCCCTTGCTGAAACCTCGGGGCGGCTATATATTTCTTTGCACTGATCATTTAAGAAGGCATTTTTAGCTCTTCTAGCTATTCTCTGGAATTCTGCATTCAATTGGGTGTATCTTTCTCTTTCTCCCTTGCCTTTCACTTCCCTTCTTTCCTCAGCTATTTGTAAAGCTTCCTCAGACAGCCATTTTGCTTTCTTGCATTTCTTTTTCTTTCGGATAGTTTTAGTAGCTGCCTCTTGTACAATGTTGCGAACCTCCGTCCATAGTTCTTCAGGCACTCTGTCTATCAGATCTAATTCCTTAAATCTATTTGTCACCTCTATTGTATATTCATCAGGGATATGATTTAGGTCATACCCGAGTGGCCTAGTGCTTTTCCGTACTTTCTTCAATTTAAGCCTAAATTTTGCAACGAGAAGCTCATGATCTGAGCCACAGTCAGCTCCTGGTCTAGTTTTTATGGTCTGTATAGAGCTTCTCCATCTTTGGCTGCAGAGCACATAGTCAATCTGATTTCTGTGTTGACCGTCTGGTGATGTCCATGTGTAGAGTTGTCTCTTGGGTTGTTGGAAAAGAGTGTTTGCTATGAGCATCGTATTCTCTTGACAAAGTTCTACCAGCCTGTGCCCTGCTTCATTTTGTACTCCAAGGCAAAACTTGCCTGTTATTCCGGTTATCTTTTGGCTTCGTACTTTAGCATTCCAATCCCCCATGATGATGAGGACATCTTTTTTTGGTGTTAATTTGAGAAGGTGTTGTAGGCCTTCATAGAACCGGTCAACTTCAGCCTCTTCAGCACCAGTGGTTGGGGCATAGACTTGGACTATTGTGATGTTGAATGGTTTGCCTTGGATTCGAACTGAGATCATTCTGTCATTTTGGAGATTGTATCCCAGTACTGCTTTTCCTACTCTTTTATTGACTATGAAGGCTACTCCATTTCTTCTGAGGGATTCTTGCCCACAGTAGTATACCTGATGGTCATCTGAATTACATTCACCCATTCCTGTCCATTTTAGTTCACTGATTCCTAAAATATCGATGTTCAGTCTTGTCATCTCTTGTTTGACCACATCCAGCTTGCCTTGATTCATGGATCTTACATTCCAGGTTCCTATGGAGTATAGATTTTTACAGGATCGGACTTTCCTTTCACCACCAGATACATCTGCAACTGAGTGTCCTTTCGGCACTGACCCAGTCGCTTCACTCTTTCTGGCGCTACTAGTACTAGCCCTCTGCTCTTCCCCAGTAGCATATTGGACACCTTCCGACCTGAGGGGCTCATCTTCCGGCATCATATCTTTTTGCCTTTTGGTGCTGTCCATGGGGTTTTTATGGCAAAGATACTGAAGTGGGTTGCCATTTCCTTCTCCAGGGGATCACGTTTTGTCAGAGCTCTCTGTTATGACCTGTCCATCTTGGGTGGCCCTGCCTGGCATAGCTCATAGCTTCATTGAGCTAAGCAAGCCCCTTCGCCACGACAAGGCAGTGATCCATGAAGGAGTTTACACAAAATATGTAATAGTCCCTAAAATCCACCTCTGCACCAGACAAATGGAGAATGAGCAGGTTGGTGGTGTAACTGCATCCTCTTAGGTTCACTCTGTCAGTTCAAGGTAAATCTGAATAATACAGCCTGGTGTTTGCAGAAAAAAACACAGTGGAAGGAACTAGGGTTCCAAATGGAAGCAATCTCTGGTTTGGGTCTTTGGGGCACCTTCTGGAATCCTGACTGAAGGAGCTCAAAATCAGATGGGGCCCTTGCAGGGTTAGCGACCTTCCATCTGGCTACCTTTCTGCCTCAGACTTCCCGAAGCCCAAAGGTGTATTTCATAAAAGATGCTGTCACTGTGGTTGGTCTCCTCTCAGCCAGTGATGCAAGGATTCTGGTGAGCTGGAGTCCACAAAATGAGACCTGCAGGAAGGATATACAGAAAGGATGCAAACACTGCATTTTTTGGATCTGGCGCCCCCAAGATCCTCCGCATGTTCTTTTCCAAAATGAAGATTCAAAGTCTAGTACCTGCAAAGTGTGGGTACCGCAGCCCGTTGGCTCACTGGGAGAAGTCAGAAATCCCTCCAGCTGCATCCATGGGGTAGCCCCAAGCAGCTGGACCGGCATCCACAGAGCCAGCGTGCTGCTGCGACCCCGAGCTGGCAGCCAAGCGGATAGCTCTGCATCCTGGCCACCAACAGCTATATTTTTCCGGCCATGCAGAGGACAGAAGCGCCACCAGTCCCCAACATCAGCTCTGCAGCTGGCCATGACCAGGGCTTCCAATGCCCTCTAGTGCACATCCGGAGTCGTGTCCCAGGGAATTGCACCGTAAAGGCCATGGCCAGGAGAGCTGGGTGGCGCAACGGGCCAGTCCCTGGCTCTTCACTACCCCAGGCCTGAGCAAGGGCATCATGCACTAGGAGAGGGCTTTGCAACCAGCCTTTTACCCTCAATATGAAACACAACATGGCACCACAAGCTAAAAGGCACACCTTTGCACTTGCTATTCTTTGTAAAAGAAGGCAAAGCAGCCCAGAAGGCCTTTCAATCACCAAATGACAGATCACAGGGCTGCGCCACAACGCCATAGCTGGGGAAGCCCTGGGCATCAACCGGCCTTCTGCAACTGCCAGAGAAGAAACTCCATGGATACCTACATCTGGGGACGCAAGCTGGGGCCTGTGGGGTGAGGGCCTGTCTTCTGCCAATGCACCCAGTTCCTTTCCCCCCAGATAATGGGCATTGCTGTGCCCTCGCCCCCTCCAAATGGTTCCAGTGCTTACCTGGAGCTGGAAGAGCACATCATTCCCACACTCCTGCTGTGTGCGTGTGTCTGGTGCTGGGGCTCAGAAGGTGGAACTGCTCCGGTCACGGCTGCATTGGGCATGGGGCCTGCGCTCCTCATCGCCCGCCGAGCTCAGGGGCTGTGGCATGCCTTGGCGAGAGGGCCTTTCCCCCAGCCTCCCGGGACTGCCCGCCACTCAGGGCGACTGCCTGGCAGCCTTGCTCATGTCTGTCATGCCCCACCCGGAGGATTCCTCAGGCAGCGAGGCCAGCGCAGTGAGCCCTGCCAGTCAGACGCAGGTTACCCCCCTCCATTAGGGGAGGAGCAGCCACGACCCTTAGAGGCACCCTTCTTGGGGAACCCTCTCCCTGGCTCCCCAAGAGCAGGAGCCAGAGGCAATGCACCCCTCAGAGAAGGGGAAGAGGGCACAGCCTTGGCTCCAACAGAAATCCAAACAGTCTGAAAGGGGAGTTCCCCATGGAACATGCCTGGCTTAATTACCCGGCTGGTCTGAGTTACAGCTGGCCATCAATTAGTTCAGGCAGAGCTGCTCTGGGTTGCAGCAAGAAGCGTTGTTATCTGTGTCCTCAGACTTTGTTGAAACTAACCAGTATCTAGATTCCTGGCCTGTTCACGACCTGTGTCTTCCAGACACCCCCACCTGCTTGGAGCACTGGACATGCACTAACCATACGGCCTTGACCCCGGAATTGAACTGGCAACTCTCAAGAAGGTAACTCAGAGACTGGGCACTTGTGTGCACAGGGAAGAACAACGTCTCCCGCTTGTCATCATCCTGTATTTTGCTCCACTCCTGATGACGTTTTTCTCCCCAGAGAAAGGAACCCACCAAGGGAGAAGAGGCAGTGGTTGCACAGCGTCTCTGGACCACCCGTGCGGTGGGCTTCATCCCCCAGGCGCCTCGGCAGCATCTCGACCCCTGCAGGGATTTTAACCAAGCAAAGGTGCAAACTCGGAGTTAGTTGAACACATTTTATTCCCCCCTTTTAAATTGTATGTATGTATGTACACACACACACACACACACCACAGTTCTAAGTAGCTATGACAATATTCAAAACCACAAAAAGGAGACAGGGTACATTTCCAGGAACAATCTGTAGTCCAGGACCTGGAGATGGAAGGACCGAGGTACTGGGGCCCGGGGATGGACTGCTTTGCTGGGGCCCCCTGGCTAGCCCACCAGCACTGTTGCAAAGGGAGGTGAAGACGCCACATCCATTTTAGCTCAACCACAGGCTAGGGCCGGGCAACACACTACACTTTAGTGAATCTTAACCATGATTAGTGAAAACAAGCCAGCTTCATTTATCTCTGGTTTGAAATTACCTTGTTTTCAGAAACCAGTTAACCACAGAGGTATAGTGGTTCAGATTACGTGGCAAATTGTGGTGAATCACACACAGATGTGAAACCTTTGGGTGGCTGTGCTAAGCCAGGGTAGTGGGGAAGCATGAGCCCGAGATTCTTGCTTGCAATGCACCACTTCAGCATTAGAGCTGAAGCTATCCAGTGAGGGCCCGAGGCCTTTCCCTACGCAATGCTCTTGGTGGCTGGGAGGCCGGGGCAGGGGAGGCAGGGCACCCTCCCAGTCCTCTCCTTGTCCACCAGCAGCCCCACCAAGAGCAACCAAACTCATAACCACCTCTTGTGTCTGGCTCTTTGAATCCTGGTGTGAAGGCTCTGCCTCTTCGGCAAGGCTTTGGACTTTCTGCAGGGACAACTCCTCACAAGCCCCTTGCCAGCCCTAGCGCATTTTCTCCTGGCAGCATCATCTGACAGGGCAGGCCTGTGAAACTGTACAACCGTCCGTCAAGATGCAGGGCATGGCCAGCTAAGCGAGGTCTTGCCACTCCCAGGATCTGCAGGCAGCCACGCCAAGCTGGACTTCTCCCTGCCTAATGATGGCATCCTTCCAAAGTGAGCTCTGCCCTCACCCATCAATGTGACTCAGGCTGAGAGCATCACTCAGTCACCCTACTATAGGCCAAGTGAAATGGGGGGGGGGAGGCAGCGGTACCCCAATATGATCAACGCAGCTGCCAGAGCCAGGGGAAATCTATGCCACAAGGACCTCCGCAGTTTCAACAGGGAATGCTCCAATGCATCCAGCAAGTTCCGCTTGTGAATGTAGCGCCTCTTTCCACTCTTGCGAGCACAAAATGAGAGGAGGAAAGAATTGCATCAAGCCTCTTCCACATGCCTGCCCCTACAAAAGCACGGTTCTTGCGAGCCCCAAGCGCTCCATTTTAAAGGCGCTCCTCCTGCCATGGACGCAAGTGCAGCAGAACTGCAGTAGCCAAAAGCCCATCCACGGGAGAGTGGAAGAAAGTGGCTCCAGGCACGGGGGGAACATGCACTTCTTCCCTGCCTGCCCATGGGCAAAGGGGCTCACAGCTGGCAGGTCTGGCACGCGCCCCCTGCCCCAGCCAGTCTTCCTGCTCTCGCAGGTGCTCACGGCAGTGGAGAGCAGTCAAGAAGGAGGGGTGGAAATTACCCAACACCCCCTTGGAACCCCAGGGAAGGGGAGACTTTGAGAGGTTGAAGGGAAGAGGTCACTCTGGAACCGTCCTCGAAAGGGACGTGTCTGAAAACTGTGTTGGGGGAACCAAAGGGGAGAGATGTTCTTCCCCCAGACCAAAAGCTGCCGCTGAGTTTCAGGGCCACACACCTTGGGGACTGCAAGAACTTGCCCTGGCTGCATGGTGGTTTAGGCAGGCCATCAAAAGGTAAGCGTGGCCTTGGGAATGCTGTGCATCCCGGGAGGGAGGGAGAAGCTAGGAGGAGGGGAAGGCCTGAGGGGCAGAGGGCGATCAAAGGACGCAGGCCTGTGCCAGCTGCGCGGGACTCCTGAGCTGTGCGCAGGAGCCGGGACATCCACCCGGGCACTCAGGTGGGCCATGCACCAGCGGCACCTCCACCCCCGGATGGGGGTCTGTGGGTCTGGGCAGGGGCCAAGGAATGCAGGGCTGGGGGAGCGGGGGGGACATGTGGCCCCTCTACTTCTGCGACTCGCACTGCAGTAGCAGGACAATGGAGGGGTCGCCCTTGGCGGCTTCCTTGAACTCTTCCAGGGTGATCTGGTCGTCCTTGTCCTTGTCCATCTTGGTGAAGATCCTGTCGACGCGCTGCTGCGGCGTCAACCCATCCTGGTTCATGCGCATCATGATGACTGTCCCCACCATCTTGTAGATTGCCTGAAAGCAGCAGGAGAGACGGGGCGTTTCTCTCTGGCTCCCCACTGCCCCCCCCGTGCCAGAGGCTGCCGTGCGACACACGCGCGTGTGCCGAGCGCCACGTGTTGGGGCGCGCGAGCCCTGCTTCCAGGGCAGCTGCTGGGGCCTGAGCCGGCAGCGACTGAGCAGGGAGGGGGTCTCGCGGCATCAGGGGACAGTCCGGCAGAAATGGCGGCCCTGGGCACAGCCGCCGTGCAAGCGGCAAACTGCGTGGGAGGCAAAGCTCGGAATGGAGTCACCGCCAAGACCTTACTCCCTTACACAAATCCTCGGTACAGCCCCCCATACAAAATTCATTCAGTTCTGGACACCTGACCTGAACAAGGATATTACCGAGTTGGAAAAAGTAGAGGGGCAACAAAAATGACCAGGGAATTGGGCTGCAGCAGCTCCCTGTGAGGACTGGCCCCTGCAGCCTGACTGTGCAGCTAGGAAGGAAGGAAGGAAGGAAGGAAGGAAGGAAGGAAGGAAGGAAGGAAGGAAGGCAGGCAGGCGAGTGACAGGAGACTTGGGAGGGGTGTGTAAATCCTGCCTGGTGTGGAGCAAGTGGAGAGGGAGGCTTTCTTCTCCCTCTCCCATACCACTTGAACCCGGGGCCATCCCATGAAGCTGACTGGTGGGAGACGGGGGACAGGGAAAGGAAGTCGTTCTTCATGCAGTGTATGGGTAAACGGTGGAATTCGCTGGCACGGGAAGCGGAGATGGCCAGAGGCGACTGGACAGTTCCTGCGGGGGGGGCTCTGTGGCTACCGGCCTGGCTGGCCGCGTGCTCCCTGCTTCGCCGGGGCGGCCTGCCTGCACACGTCCACTACAGAAAATTTTATTTTCTTAACATAAACAAGTACTTAAGAAGGAATATGAAGCAAAGCAAACTAAAATAGACAAAGCAAAATACAATGAAGAAAGTTGCCAAGGGAATCCTAAACAAATACACATTATATATTCAAACCCCCAAATTTATTCATCTTTCTGTCTTTCAACACTCTGAAAGTTTATCAAAAAAGAATTTGTTAATCTGTACAACAAATATTCCAACAATCTCAATTCCTCTACTGTTTTTTCTTTTCCAAACTTCCCTCAAATACCATTAGCCGTGCTGAACATTCCCATTTATCATTAAATTATTCTAATGGTCTTCTGTTTACATAGCTGGATGTTTCAGATGCAGTGCGCTGTGTGTCGGTGCCATGGTTTTGTTCTTGGTTCCCTTTCTTGTAAGCTGTCCAGAGACGTTTTTAGTAATGGACGGCATAGAACATTTTTAAATAAATAAATGAATGAATGAACTAGTTAACTTTGCCATCACTGCATATTCAGGGAGTCTACTTTTCCATTCTTCAGTTGTGGGAAGAAGCCACTGTGCTGCGGGCAGGAGGTCTTGCACCCATCCTGCTGGGTCCTGTGGGCAGGTGGGTTGCCACTGTGTGTATGGTGCTCTGGACTGGATGTCTGATCCAGCAGGGCTTTTCGTACAATATTTATTAATTTTAATGCTTATGTCCTATCATTGGGAGGTGTAATTTAGAATTTATTAATTCTATTTTCCCTGTTTTGGTTCTATCTTTGTTAACTTATTTTCAGACATTTTTGTTATTCATCTTTGTAGTTGAACATTATATTGTGCTTGTATCGTTCTACGCTGTTGGTTTCAACACACCGTCAGTTGCCCAGAAAGCCTATGGTTAGTGGGGCAGCATACAAATTGAAGGACTGACAGAGGGCCTTGTGCATGGAGGCCTTCATGCCTGCCTGCCTGCCTGCCTGCCTGCCACCTCAGGCCATGCACAGCCGGGGCCCACCATGCGTGGGGCCACTGGCATCGGCAGCTTGCCAGGAAAAGCCCTCCCTGCCTTCCCTTTCACAGGGTGCGTCCCATCCCACGCACAGGCTCTTGATCAGCCCAGCCTCCCACAGCAGCCGGAGGATGCACATCCCCAGGGAACACTCCCATACCTCAATGATCTCCAACATCTCCAAACGTGTTATCTTGCCATCTCCATCCAAGTCATACATCTCAAAGGCCCAGCTCAATTTCTGCTCAAAGCTTCCCCTGGAGGTGACGGAGAGAGCACAAATGAACTCCCGGAAGTCGATCGTCCCATCCCCATTCTTGTCGAACGTGCGGAAAGCATGCTGGGCGAACTTGGAAGCATCACCGTAGGGGAAAAACTGCAGAAGAAAAGGGGAGGAGCAGCCGTAACAAGGCATGATGCCGGCTGCAGGAGACCCGTGGCTGCTTGGTCCAGTATCTTCCAGCAGAGGCTTTGCCAGAGCAGTCACACCGGGGACGGTGCCTGCGCCAGGCAACGGCTGCAAAACAGGCCCCCGAATGCCACAAGGATCCTGCATCCTCGGGTGGCTCCCACAGCTGCTGAACATCCCTAGCGCTGGGAGATACCAGCCACCCGCTGGTCTCTGCGGAGCAGGCGTTGCCGGGGCACCCACGGCCAGGGCTCGGCCCAGCTGCGCTCACGAGAGCCCTGCACGCGCCCCCAGGCCCCATGCTGCCCGGCTGCCGTACCTTGATATAGAGCTGCTGGAATTCTTCCAGGTTGAGGATGCCCGTGGGGCAGTCCTTCAAGAAGCCCTTGTACCACTGCTTCAGTTCTTGCTCATTAAATTCGGTGTTTCTCACCAGGTCATCCAGCACCTCCGGGGCCAGTTTGCTGTTGTGTTTGCCCATGGCTGGTTCTGCAAAGAGCAGCAAGTCAGTGCCCAACGGCCCTGGAGTGCGCAGGGCAGAAACGACTGCCTCTCTCTCCCCATTACGCTCCCCCCACTTCCCTGCAGAATGCCAGGCTGCAAGCCCGTTAGGGCCTCATTCGCCATGAAGTGCCCTGTGGGTGAAGGGCATAAAAGCAAGCAGTCAGAACAGCACCGCAGGGCCGGCCTTGCGGAGGCTCCTGGAGGGAGTGGGCCAAGAGGCATCTTCCAACCCGCACTGCACGAGGCTTGCCAGATCCGGGGCTACAGAAACCAGCAGGCGAACCCATCTGCAGCACGGGCAGAAAGCTCCCCTCTCCTAAGGGCTGCAGGTGGCTGCCGTTCCAGACATGGCGGCATCGGGCTGTGGCCCAAGCATCACTGGCCCTTGACGGCACCCCTGGCTGCCCAGGGTGCAGCTGGGGAAGAAATCCTGGTCCCTAAATTTCTGCCATCTCACCACAATCCCTCCTGTGAGATTTTGCATCAGAATTACAGATTTTAAACTTTTTCACCAGAAAGCACAAGTCAACCCTGTTCAAGTTAGGGTTAGGGTTAGCAAGTCCAGCCCTTCCCCTCTTGCAGGCAGCCCGGGGCGGCTCACGCAGCCTCCCTCTTCTCTTCTCCACTCTCTGTCCCAGAGTGCCAGTCCTGCACTTCCCACTGTCCTCCCTGGCCAGAGATCAAGGGGTCCCTCGGCCCACCTCTCCAGAAGCGAAAAGGGCACTGCCATGTTGCCTGGCGAATGCAGGCACGCGGCTGGGGGGCGAGGGGGAGGCATGCAGTGAGGAGGCCGGCAGATGCCCCATGGCACTGAAAAGCAGAGGCAGTGGCCTCGTCAGGGCGCATGCTCCAAATGCCGAGGCCGCAGTGCCACGACCGGCTGGATCACAGAGTCCGGCAGGCAGCAGCTGGGAGAGCCAGTCTGTCCAGCACTGCGGTCCCAAGGCAGGCCATCTTGCCCCGCTCGGTCTGCTGCCACATCGTATGCAAGGTTCAGCTTCCAGACAGCCTCCAAAGGCAACCCCACACGGCATGCACTGCGGTAATCTACCCCAGAGATCACCAGGCTTTGGTTTACTGGCAGGCTCTCTCTGCCCAGCCTGAGGCACGGTGGGCTCCCTAGGGGTCCCAGGGCCACCTGAGCCTCCAAAGAGCCAACCGTGGCAATGAGCCTCCTCTGGGGCTGACCCAGAAAATGCTTTGCAGATCCACAGCTCACGTCCCAGCTGGGAACATTTCCCAGTTAGCTGCCCCTGAAGTCTGAGAGGCTGCAAAGGGATGGGCAGGTGCCTGGGGCAGATTTTGGAACAGGTAGGGAAAAGCCACCTGCCCCATTGAGCGCCACATCTGTCATCCAGGTGTGCTTGGTGTAGTAAGTCTCCAAAGGGCATGAGCATATCTGGAACCGGGTTGGAGAAGGCTGGAGTAGAGGTGGCGGAGGCTGTCACGGTAGGATGCTGCAGGTCAGCCCTGGAACATGCAAGCACCAAGTGCAGGCCAGCAGGGCTTGGGGCTCCAATGTCTGTGGGGAACACACTCACTTCAGGTTTCAGCCTGAGCTTTCAAGAAACTACTCAGGCTGTAGTTGAACCGGCTTCAGCGATCGGCTCCTACAGATCTCTGGATCTATTCAATCTACCTGTTTATTTAAAACTTTTATATCCTGTCACCACATGCCTCGGCATCTCGACATGTTGCCAAGGGTGCGCTCGCTCGCTCGCTCAGCAGAAGTTATCCGTCCCATTCTGAGGTAATTCATGTCCTGCTCCTAAATTTTCCCGCAGCAGTGACCACCTCCCTTCAGTTTTGTCTGGAGGCGCTCAGCGCTGTCCATCAGGATGCCGCGGATGTTTCCTCGGGCGCCTTCATATGAGCCCTTGTGCAGTTCTGCAGGCAGGCAGACACACATGGGGTGCCGCTGGTCTTCCACGTGCCTCCCGCTGAAAACCGGGACGCTCCAAGAGCAATGCATGATTTTCATGGGCATCAGCAGTGGGTGGGCGAGGGGCCTGGGGGCAGCACTGCTTCCCATTCAGCACGCCTCTGCGTCCTTCTCAGAGCCAGGCCTTTCCCTTCCAACCCCGTAACATGCACAGAAAGTGTTGCTCTGCAGGGCGAAGCATGCGTTCCTTCCTCAGCACCTGCTCACCCTACGCGATGAAGGTCAGCGCACGGCACAAGCGACCCACACTGGCATAGCAAAGAGCTCGGAGGAGAGGAGCCGCTGCAGCGGAGGCCTCTCGCCACCCTCTCCTGGCGGGGGCTGCCTGCGGATACTGGCTGAGGCAAGAGAGGCGTTCTCCGCTGCCAGTCACTGAGAGTGCCCACCCTGCAGCCTGGGCATTTCTGGGAGTGGCGGGTGGCAGAATGCTCTGGTGTGCCCCTTCCGCAGCGCTTGCCCCACATGCCGGAGTTCTCAGGACAGCAGCTTACAACGCTCCAAGGCCACGGCTCTGGGGAAAACACAGGCAGCGAAGCCATTCCAACCAAGCCGGCCGCTGCGGTGCAGAGCCGCATCCAATGAATGGGGGCATGACGCAGGGAAGCCCGTGGCGTCACTGGCGCCAAGCGGCAGGACCAGGCTCTGTGCTCGGGGCCAGGCGGCTGCATCTGCTCCCCAGGCTGGTCCGGCCCTGCTCCCCCGCCACACTGGGACCACTCGGCCCGCCCGCCGTCGGCCAGTGCGCGGCAGCTCAAGGGGACCTGCGGCGAGTCGACAGTGCGCGGAGCCGCCACCTGGCTGCGTCGGGCACGGCGAGTCGGCTCAACGGCTCAAGGCCGTTGCACGTGCGTGCGCTTGGCTACCCACTCGCGCAGCTCGCGAGGGCGCGCGGCAGCGTCCAGCCGCTCTCGGCGTCGCCGGCTGAGCAGGGGAGGAGCGCCCTCCCTGGGCTGGCGCCCCGCCCAGTGGCCAGCCGGGGAGCGCGCGCACCCTCCCCGCTCGTGTCTCCCAGCCCCCGGCAGGCTCGGCCGCCCTGTCCCCGGTGCCGGAGGACGCGTGCGACACCGCGCAGGGCGTCGCTTTGCCGGGCTCGTCCGCCGCGAACGTGACGAGTTGCCTCCAAAGCGACCCGTGGCCGCCTCCTGCAGCAGCCAAGCCAACTACCGGGTGCGGCAGAAGGGCCGGGAAGGCAGACGAGGACGTCTGCCAGCTTCTCCACAACCTCCTCATCCACTTTAGCCATTGCCGTTCGGGGTCGAGCTGCCCCTCCCCGCTCCAGCTTCCCGTTCTGGTACGAAGAATTCTTCCTTCTTTCTCCTAGCAACGGTTATTAAGCCATCAGTCCCTCGATCACGGCTGCTGCCTCCCCGGCGCTGCCTCGCGGACGGCCCGTCCCGCTCAGGCACGGCTCCGTGTTTCTGCAGGGCAGCCGACGCTCCCTGCGACAGCGGGGGACGGCAGCACCGAGCCCCCGGGCTGCATGCAGGTGCCCCATCCGTGCGAAGACCATCTGCACATTAACGTTCGCGGCTGCAGCGAAAGCGCTGCTCAGCAGCCAATTCCAGCAGGAGGCAGGCCCGCCAAAGGTTCTCTGCCCATCTGCACAAGGCTGGCAGGGCGTTCCACCAGCACGAAGCTGCACCAAGCACCGAAGGGGGCACCTGCGTCGCACGCCGAAAGCCCCCGAGGAGCAGCAGTCATAAGCACTTCGACCCCAAAGTCTGAAGTGATACTGGCAGTGAGAGCAGAAGATGCACGTCTAGCTGATGGATTAATCTGGCTCAGCAGCACATGAAATGCACTCTGCACATGCGCAGAGACACTGGCCTCTTATTAGCTGCCTGAACGTCATCTTTTTTGGTACAAAAGTGAGGTATAAATCAAACAGATAATGGCATAACTAGTACTCCATATGGCTGGAGCCTGGTGTTGAAGGCATGGATTCCGTATTAGACCACTGTAGGTCCTGGGTCATTTTTACCTATGAGTGGTGCAGCCAAAAATGGGCAATGCATTTCAAAGGATTCTGAGGGGCGCTCGGGGGCCAAGGGTGGACCTGTAACGTATACCATGCTGCTTCTCAGGATAACCACTTAGAAAAGCATGAAAGGAAGAAAAACCTATTTCGACGGGATGACTCCTCCTCTCCTGCCCCTTTGACCTGCGTTTCAGAAAGAACTTGGTGCAGCTGGACTGCTTGCCAGTGGCATAGTGAGCCTGGGTCAGTCCTGGGAAGCTGGAGTTAGTCAAGTGTCCCAAGGCAGATGCCCAGATCAATCACTACTAATGTGACTGTGAAGACATGCTCCCCGTGGAGGACTCGTGGGTCACCCAGTTCCCTCCTGGGGTAGGTATGAGCAGGGCGCGATTTGGGGGGGAGAAGGGAGGGCCACCCGCACCTCGCCCGGCCCCTTCCACCGAGCAGCTGGTGCTGCAGCTCCTATGGCAACAGCCGCACTGTAGTGAGCGCACCTCCCCACAGCAGCCACGCACCTCCCCAAAGCTGCCAGCCCTTTCATCCCAGCATGCCTCTGCCCCCCCCCCGCCCACGCTTCCATAGACCTTTAGGATCAAGCAGAAGAAGAAGAAGAGAGACACCCCCATGCTATGAAATCTTTTTTTCCTAATGAGCCTCTGTGGTGATGCTGTTCAGCTCCTCCCAAGCCCTCAAGCAGGTTTGTCTTCCAAAATCCAGCAGATTGGCAAAGCCCAGTTCAGATGGTTATGGCAGTCCTGCCACATGGGAGGGCCGAGCCCTCATCCCCAGTGGCTGCACTTTCTCCCTGCCTCTCCTTCTCTCACTGGCTCGTTACACAAAACATTCCGGCTGCAGGTTTGAGAGAAGAGCAGGAAAATGCCAGACCCTCCTGGCCATTTTCGTGTGCAACATTAAGGCTTTGCTGCAGGTGCTTGGTGCTGACACCACGGCGACAAAACCCAGGAACAATGGCAGGAAATGCCCGTTCCTGTCTCAAGGAGGGGCGCTGGTCCTGGGACATGGCTCTGTACTGGCCGGCTCTGGGACATTTAGGAGG